TGGGTGTTGTGGTGGTTGAGACTTCCCTGGACATCCGTGAAGTGCTTTTAGGTGGATGGCTGTATGGAAGACTTTTTTTGGTGTTGTTTTTGCTGTTTTTTTTGTTTTTTGCTGTTTTTTTTCGTTTTTGGGGGAGGGGGAGGGGAGGGGTTGAATTTCTTTCTCCTCTCTTTTTTTCTTATATGTCCTTTTTGTGTGTGTTTTTTCTATTTTTTTCCCTCCTCTCTAAGTTTTTTTTTCTCCTTTCTCTCTCTCTCCCTGCCATCCTCCCTTCTCTCCTCTCTCCCCATCTTTCCCTACTTCCTCCTCCTACACCCATGCTCTCTCTCTCTCTCATAAATCCCCCCTCATTCTGCCTCCCTTCCTCTCCTCGCCCTCTCTCCCTCACGCCCGCCCCCGCACCTTCTCCTCCTCCCCCTCCTTTCCCCTCACACCATCCTGCCCATAATTGCTATGTGTCTCGCGCTGGTTGAGTAAACAAGCACGGCATCTCACGCCCGGGAAACAATAGCCAGGGAAAGGTAATGATTCATCCCCGCCCCCCCTCCTCCTCCTCCTCATCCTCCCCTACTCCTCATTCTCCTCCTCCCCTCCCTTCTCCTTCTCTCCTCCTCCTCCCTCCTCCTTTCTCCCCTTCTCCTCCTCCGCAGCCCTGCCCCCTTTCCTCGTTTTCTTTCTCACTCCTCCTCCTTTACCTCTTCCTCTCCCTTTTCCTTCTCTCATCCTCTTCCCTCCTCTTTCTCCCCCTTTCCTTCTTCTCATCCCCTACTCCTCTTTCCCTCCTTTCACTTCCCTTCCTACTCCCCTCCCTCTCTTATTCCCTATTCCTTCCCTTCTTTTCCCTTCTACCTCCCTTCTTTCTTAATCCCTATTCCTTAATTTCCTTTCTATATCTCTTCCCCTCCTCTCCCCTCTACCTCCTCTCTTCATCCACTACCTCTCCCCTTTCCTTCCTGCATGTCTTCTCCTCCTTCTCCCCTTATCTCTTCTTCTTACTCTCTTATTCCTACATTTCTCCCTTCTTCTCTGCTTATACCCCTTTTCCCTGAACCCCCCCCCCTTGTTTTGTTTCGTGTTTTATTTTCTATTCTCTCTTCTTATCGTTTCTCCTTTCTCTTTTCTCTTTCTTCTCTTTCTCTCTCTTTCTCTCTCTTTCTCTCTCTTCTCTCTCTTTCTTCTCTTCTCTCTTCTTTTCTCTCTCTTCTCTCTCTTCTCTCTCTCTCTCTCTCTCTCTCTCTCTCTCTCTCTCTCTCTCTCTCTCTCTCTCTCTCTCTCTCTCTCTCTCTCTCTCTCTCTCTCTCTCTCTCTCTCTCTCGTTTTTATATAGGCGTTTTAAGGTGATATAGGCCTATTCTCGTATGTAGGCCTATTCTTTTTTTCCAGAATTCACTTTTTGGAATTGTAACTGATTCAGCGTTAATGTGAATGATTAATTTACGTCACTTCTGATATCTTCATTTGCATACGATTTCCTTTTTTTTTTTTCTTTTTCTTTTTTATTTATTTATTTATTTTCTTACTTGTTTCATCTGTCCAACTTCTGTTTTTTTTTCCTGTCCTTACTCTTTCTCTCTTTTTCTCTTTCTTCTCTCCGTTTCTTCCTTTTCCTCTTCTCCCTTATCGCCTCTCATTCCTTCTCTCCCTCTTGCTATTCTTGTCTCCTCTTCTCTCTCCAACCACTCCTTTTCCACCTTTCTTTTCCTTTTGCCTCCTCTCCTTTTCCTTTTCCCTTTCTCTCACTTTCTTTCACTTTACCTTTTCTCTATTCTTCTTTTCTCCTCTCTCCCTTCTTCCTATTCCCCACTTTCTCCCCTCTCCCCTCTTCTCCCTTTTCTCTCCCCTTTCTTTTCGCCCTTCACGCCCTTCTCCCACTCTCCTCCTTTATCCACCCTTTTTTTCCCTTCCTCCCCTTTCTCTCCCGTCTTCCTCCCTCTCCCCCCTTCTCCCCTCTACCCCTAGCCCCATCCCCTTTCTCTCCTCTCCCCTCCTCTATCCACCCTTTTCCTCTCCTTTTCTATCCCTCCTCCCCCTTTCTCTCCCCTCCCCTCTTCCCTTCTTTTCCCTCCACTCTCCTTTTTCCCCCTCCCCTCTCCACCCCCTCAACCCGCCCCCACCCCTCCACCTCCCCCCTTCTCCCCTTCTCCCCCCCCCACCCCCACCCCCCTTCTTCCCCCTCTTTTCCCCCCCTCCCTCTCCCTTCCTCCCCTTCTTCCCACCCCCAAAACCCCCTCAAAAACCCCCCTTATTCCCCCTCAAACCCCCCACCTCCCTTCTTCGCCCCTCCCCCACCTCTACCTCCACCCCCTCCCCCACCCTCATCCTCCGCAGGGTACACACAGAGAACGAACTCATCCCAGCGTACGGATATATGGGCTCGAGGATTCCGCTCATGCGAAAATCAATTTTGCATAACAATGGTCGGGCGATCGTGATTTTCGCGTGTGGTGATAATAACGGGCGGTGGTGGTGATGGTGGGGGTGATGGTATGGTGGGGGTGTGGTGGTGGGTGGTGGGGTGGTGATGTGGGGGTGGGGTGGTTGGTGGTGGGTGTGGTGATGGTGGGTGGTGGTGGTGGTGGTGGTGGTGGGTGGTGGTTGGTGGAGGTGGTGTTGATTAAGGTGGTGGGGGTGGTGAGTTGTGGTGGTGGTGGTGGTGGTGGTGATGGTGGTGGTGGTGGGAGTATGGTGGTTGGTGGTGGTGGGTGGTGGAGGTGGTGGTGAGTATGGTGGTGGTGGGTGGGGGTGAGTATGGTGGTGGTGGTGTGGTGGTGGTTGGATGTGGTGGTGGTGGTGGTGGTGATGGTGGTGGGGGGGGTGGTGGTTGGTGTGGTGTGGTGTGGTGATGAGTGGTGGTGTGTGGTGGTGGTGGTTATGGTGGTGGGTGGTGGTGGTGGTGATGGTGGGGGTGGTGGTGTAGTATGGTGGTGGTGGTGAGTATGGTGGTGGGTGGTGGTGGTGGTGATGATGGGTGGTGGTGGTGGTGGTGAGTATGGTGGTGGTGGTGGTATGGTGGTGGTGGTGAGTATGGTGGTGGTGGATGAGTATGGTGGTGGTGGTGTGAGTATGGTAGGTGGTGGTGGTGGTGGTGGTGGTGGAGAGGTGGAGGTGAAGTGTGTGGTGGTGGTGGTGAGTATGGTGGTGGTATGGTGGTGGGTGGTGGTTGGTGGATGATGGTGAGGCGGTGGTGGTGATGATGATGGTGGTGGTGTGGTGGTATGATAGGTGGAGGTGGTGGGGTGGTGGTGGTAGGGTGGTGGTAGTGGTGGTGATGACGGTGGTGGTGGGGTGGTGGTGGTGATGGTGATGGTGATGGTGATGATGCTGGTGATGGCGATTATGATGTTCGCTTAAGGTGGTGATGATTACGAGGTTAGAAATAATAATGTTGATACTTTCGGTGATTTTTTTTTCGTCCTTGATGAAAGCGATGATCATAGTTATTTTCATCACCAGTATAGTTATCAAGATACACATCACAGTCATCAAAACCACCACCGTCACCACCACCGCCATCATCACATTCGCTGAATATTCTCATACTCTTGTCTGCTCTCCCTCTTCACCCCCCTCATCTCTTCTTCTTACTCTCCTATTCCTACATTTCTCCCTTCTTCTTCCCCTCTCCTTCATCCCTCCCTTGTTTGGTTTCTTGTTTTATTTCTCTACTCTACTATAATTGAATATTCTTTTATAGTCTGCTCTCCCCGCCATCTCGCTAACTAATTTCTGGACGGAAGCACGGCGCTGTATGAGCTCCAGGAGAGACAGCCCGCAGCACAGAGTAGGAGACTGCTAATGGGCTAACTCCATCTCTCTCTCTCTTCTTTTCTCTCGTCTCATTCTCTCTCTCTCTCTTTTTTTCTCTCGACTTTCTCTTTCTTTCTCTTTTCGTCTCATTCTCTCTCTTCTTCTCTTCGTCTCATTCTCTCTCTTTGTCTTCGCCTCATTCTCTCTCTTTCTCTTCGTCTCATTCTCTCTCTTTCTCTTGTCTCTCGTCTCTCTCTTTTCTCTTTCTTCTCTCTTTCTCTTGGTCTCCCTCTCTCTTTCTCTTCTTCTCTCTCTCTCTCTCCCTCCCTTTCACCCTCCCTCCTTCCCTCTCTCTCTCTCTCTCTCTCTCTCTCCCCATCCCTCCCTCCCTTACCCTCTTTCCCTCTCTCCATCTCTCTCTCTCTCTTCGTACCCATCTGACCCCGTGACCTTACACCCACCCCCACCACCACCCCCCCGATGACCTACGATTATCTAGCCTTGCAGGAGCAGGTCATGGAGGAACCGTAAAGAGAGAGAAAAAGGAAGTCAAATTTTCCTGTTTGGACACGAGGTCACAGATTATTTTTGGGGGTCGGCGAAAAGGAGGATAAGGAAATGGAAAATCGCGTGTATGGGAAGGAAGGGAGGGGGAGGTGGAGAACAGGTGAGAATGGGGAAGAGAAGGGAAGAGATGATGATGATGATGATGATGATGATGATGAGGAGGAGGAGGAGGAAGAGGAGGAGGAGGAGAATAGGTGAGAAGGGAGAAGAGAAGGGAAGGAAGGGAGGGGGAGGAGAACAGGTGAGAAGGGAGAAAGGGAAGGGAAGATGAGGAGGAGGAGGAGGAGGAGAATAGGTGAGAAAGGGGAAGAGAAGGGGAAGATGAGGAGGAGGAGCAGGAGAACAGGTGAGAATGGAGAAGAGAGGGGGAAGATGAGGAGGAGGGGGAGGAGGAGAATAGTGAGAAGGAGAAGGGAAGAGAAGATGAAGAAGAGGAGCAGCAGGAGGAGGAGAATAGGTGAGAAGGGAGAAGGAAGATGGTGATGATGATGATGAGGTGAAACGATGAGCAGAGAAAAGGCGGAGGAAAGTGGAATTAAAAAGGACGAGGAAGAGAAGAACATACGAAAAGGGGAGAGGAAAAGGGTAGCAAAGGACGAGGAAGAGGAGGAAGAGAAGATCAGAATAAGAATGGAGAAGGAAAAAAGGGGATAAAAAAAGACGAGAGGGAGGAGAACAAAACCGAA